GGACAATGAAGGCATCTTTGAACTCCTGGGGGATAACCTCCTCTTATAACTCAGAAGATTTCAGTCAGCTTTTGTATGAGCAATGGCTCCTATGCCTGGTAGCTCTCAACTAGAATAGAATCAGCACCAGGCATTTTGCCACAAAAGTGTAGCCTAATGACATCCAAAACCCCTTCTTCAGCTGGAGGTTTGGCTAGACAGGGACTGATTTCAACCTGAGGTAAACAGTCAATGGCTTCTGCATCGATTGATCATGGTCTGGTGAGAACACTATGGAAGAATTCAGCCCACCTCTCTAGGATCATGTCTGTATCACTAATCACTGTGGCTCCATCAGCACTGAGTAGTTGAGATGCACCAAAGGTCTGTGGCCCAGAAATAACCTTGAAAGCATCATAAAAGCACTTTGCATTATCGGCATAAAACCGAATTTCATCTGCCTTCTTACTGAGCTAAGAATCCTGCATCTCTCTAAGCTTCACTTGTACTTTAATTTTGTTGCCTTCTTAGAGACAGATGAAATATGCTGCTGGTAAACCGTGTGAAGTTCTCGTTTTTCATTCAGTAGCTTCTGAATTTCCCCATCATTTTCATCAAACCAGTCTTGGTGCTTGTGAGTGTTCTGGCCCAGATGCATAAATGCAAGTGCTATGCACAAAATCTCTGAAAGCTGCCTACTCCTTTTTTGCTCCACTGTTGCCAACTGTATGTTGGTTCAACCTTCCCTCCGAGTTAGCAACAAACTGTTCCTGCTCAGAGAAGCACTGATTAGAATCTGTTGACATTAATTCTTCTGGTCTCATTTTGTCTTGGGGCCACTTCTGTTGAATGAGAATGTTTAGCTTGGAGAGGATATGTCTATGATCAGTCAGGACTCTGCACCACACATTGCTTTCATCACTCTCACATCTTGTCTCTTCTCCTTACAATGACTAGTCTATTAAATGCCAATATTTGCCGTGAGGACACATCCATGAGATTTCATTTGGTTTAGGTAAACAGACAGTGTTGGTGATGAGAAGGTCACGAGATGCACAAATTTTCAGTAGTTACGGATGCTGTTGCTGTTTCTAACTCTATTCCTCCCTAGGACTCCCTGCCAAGTCTGATAGTCTGAGCCTACTCTAGCATTAAAGTCACCCAGAATAATAAACTTGTCCTCTTTTGGCACATTGATGATGACGGTCTCTAGGTCTTCATAAAAATTTTCTTTGACCTCATCAGGGTTTGTCATGGTGGGAGCACAGGCACTGATGATGATGGCATGCTGTTTTCCCTGCAAGTGGCATCACATTGGTATGACCCTGTCATTCACTCCTTTTGGGAAGCATACAAGCTTGTTGACTAGATTAGTTTTGAAAGTAAAACCTCCACCAGCTTCACGACACTCCCCGTCACTGTGGCCAATCCAGAAAGACGTGTATCCAGCTCCAACTTCAGTAAGCTGGCTTTATTTGCCAGCCTTGTTTCACTCAGGGCTGATACTTGTGATACCTGCCGAGTTCTCTTGCAACAAGAACTGTTTGTCTTTCAGGTCCACTGGATTTTGTGCTGTCCATAAGTGTATGCACATTCCACGTACCGATGGTGAGTAGAATCATCTTTGCAGAAATTTTTGTGTTTCGACAGCAGGATGGTATCCCTGCCTACCATGGGTAAACAGGTCAGGATTAAGTTCGGTGAAGCTGACAATTTTTAGGGCACCTTTTCTAGCCCCTTCCTCGTGCTGGAGGTAAGCAATGTGATCCTTCAAAAAGGCTGATCAGAGGGACAGCTAGGTGGCACAGTGGATAGAGCACCAGCCCTGAAGTCAGGAGGACTTGAGTTCAAATCTGGCCTCAAACCAAACACTTGACACTTACTAGCTGTGTGACCCTGGGCAAGTCACTTAACCCCAACTGCTTAACAAAAAGGCTGCTCAGACACCCAAGGGGCTTCCAAATCCCACTACTGCTCCAGTCCAGGGACAGCCTGGGCTGCCAGTGTGCAGGGCTGTGACTTCAGTTCCCAGTGTATCTGTACCTGCCACTTTGTCACTTGTCTGTCACCACAGGACTTTGAGGCAGGTAAAATGGTAAATGGTGTGGGTGATGTCCTTTGATTTGTGCATAAATTGGATTTAATATAGTTGCTTGAAGTGATTGGCCTCACTCGCCCTTCCTGAGTCATTGAGGTCCAGTGGCAGGATGAAAGTCAAGACCGCCTGCCATGGCCCGGGATGCAATGGATGACCCTGGCATCTCTGATGTCGGACCAAGCTCTAAGCACTCCACAGCGCCTGCTTCAGCCGCCTTCTCAGCCAAAGGAACAAATTGTTCTCATCTGCCCATTCCACCCAGAGAAGTCTTCCCATGCTGGGGCAGACACCCCTTGGTTACCCTCAGCTCGGTTCAACCCGTCTGCTGAGACAGTTTATCAGGGTGTGGCCGCTGCACATGCTGCAGCTTCCTGGAGCAACAGACAGTTAATCAGGCGGACACCGAAGGTAGAAAGCAGCCCTCACACCAGAAGTGCCAGTCTTCTCCAAACATCCCAGTACCGTGATTATTGCTTATACAGCCAGACTTGTGTATATTTGTTTGCTTGTCTCCCCCATTAGATTGTGAGCCCTCTGAGGGCAGGGACTGTCTTTTGCCTCTTTTTATATCCCCAGCACTCAGCACACATGGCATTTGGCACATAGCAGGTGCCTGACAAACGTTTATTGACTGACTGACTCCTCTTTGGGTTGGGCCATTCCAAGCATTCATCTAGTTATGTTATCCACAGTCTAGCCCATACCCTCCCCGCCTCCCCCCCCCAGCAAGAATTGCATGAGAGACTTGATAACAATAACAACAGCTAGCATTTCTATAGACTTTCAGGTCTGCAAAGAGTTTTACAAATACTTATTTCATTTAATCCAGTGAAATGCTTTAATGAAATTCAGGTAAGGTACTAGTAAAAGCTCACATTCAGAGAATTTAGACAGAGGAAGGTGAACAACAGTTGGCAGAGAACCCTGAACCAAAACAGACAATTTCAATTCTCTGAAATTAAAAAGTTTGACACCAACAAAATCAATGCACCACAGATGAGAAGGAAACTGACAACTGGGGGAAAAAAACCTTGCCAATACCTGTAAGAAAGGCCTAATGTCCAAGACACATATGGACAAATATAAAACATAAAAAATAATATAAATGCAAATGTAAAACAAATATAAAATACACACACATACATACACATCCAAGGGCCATCCCCAATGGATAAGAGGCCAACACTTCTTAGAAGAAGACCTGCCAATTTACTAATAACCACCAGAAGAGAAATGAGGGAAGTGGACATCACTATAACACTGATGTGTCCCACCAGGCCCAGCAAATAGTCAGAGAGGACAGAAGCCGTGGGACAAAGACACACTGTGGGGGGAGTGACAACAGGGACCCAAATGCCCCCTTCCCTCTCTGACCTCAAGATTCACAAGACTGACAGCCAGATGACCGACAGACAAGCAGACAGTTTCTGAAGGGACCCAAAACAGCTGCTGTCAGTGAGGGAGGGGTGTTGAGGCTTGTGCTATAGAGAACGCATGTCCTCTAGAGAAGCAGGGGCCCGTGCAGCAGGTAAGGTCTGGGGGGGCTGAGCCGAGCCAGGAAAAGGATATTCTGGATGGCAAACGCAGAAATGGAAAGAGCCCCAAAGCCACCTCCCCTAAGGATGCAGTCTGCCCTTGAACCAGAAAGGAGACTGAGTATCTCTTTGCCCTCAAGGCAGAGGTAGGGGAGCATGAGTGTGAGATGCTGAATGCACTGAGTGGCCTCTTTTCTAGTCCTTGTTTTAAGAGAGGCATCTCTACACAAAGGACAGAAGGGATGTTTTTGAAAATGATGGTGCCAGAAAACCCAAATCCAGCAATAAACTCATTTCAAGACGCTGAGGTTTCTCCTCACTGCCCGCCCCCCACCAAGGCAAAGCTGAGAAAAGGAGGAAATGGGGGAGGGGTGCAGGCAGCCTGGCCCGCGAATGCCCTATGGGAGGCGCTACACCCCCCCCCCCAGTTCCTCGGAGTAACCCTATGACTGCCACTCAATGCCCTTCCCTGCTGCCGGGGCCTCCTCTGGGCTGGAAAACGTGGCGCCTAGAACTGACCACACAGCTCCAGCGCTCCCCATCCTGCAGTGTGCAGAACCCCAGAATCCTCCTCTTCCCTGGCTCTTCCTGGTTGTCCGTGTCCCTCCGCCCCCATCATCTCTCCACAGAGACTCCCTCTGAACCCTCTGGTCAGGAGTCATGAGCTCCGGCCCCCCCTTCTTTAGCTTCCACCTCCCCACTGCCCACAGGCTGACAGCTCACCCCTAGATTCCCTGCCTCCCCTGTCTTCTCAATCCCTGTGGCTCCGCATGGCTGGGGGGAGCTGAGCTCCACACTTCTCAGGCCTCCCTTGGGGGCCCTCCCCAGGCTGGCTCCTGGGAGGTCCACTGCTCCGCCCCCAAGCCCCCAGCCCGGGCAGGGGTACAGATGGGGGAGGGGGAGCACGGATCACAGGAGGGAGCCTGGGCCAGGAGGTCGGGAGACACTCTGGGGTAGGGGGCGTGCCCAGACCCTGCCGGTGAGGTCAGAAGGAGCTAGAAGGGTCCCAGGAACTTCGGGGGGCAAACTAGGAAGGGCCCCCGGGGTTGGGTCACATACAGCGACCCCTTCCTTCCCCCCGGCAGTCCCCTTCTTACCCCAGATTCCTCCCCGCTATCCCTCGGGTCATACACTGTGATTAAGGTCTGCTGGGCTGAGTCTGTGCTCCTCCACCCACAGAATTCCTGAGAGCAGCCCCCTCCTCGCTCCTGGGGCCCGGCACTGACCCCTCCCCTTCTCCCAGCAGCCCCCTCCTCCCCCTAGATTCCCCACCATTCACCCCCACCGCCCGAGGCCAGGTCGGCCCTGGGGCCCGGCCCCTCCTCCTCCCCCTAACAGCCCCCTCCTCCCCCCAGGTCCCTTCTCTCCTCCGGGTCCGGAGCTCTCACCTGCTCGCGGCCGACCGCGCGCGTCTGCACCGCCGGGACTCCCGCCTAACTCTCCAACCTGATTCTCCAGACCCGATCCTTCCTCCTCTTCCTCTGGGTTCCGGGCTGGACGTGCACGAGCCTGCGCGGCCCCGGCGGCGGGAGCGAGCCTGCGGGAGCGAGCGCCGGGACAAGCCCCCGCGGGGGAGTGTCGGAGGCCTGCGACCCCACCCAGGAGCCGGCGGGGATGGGGAGGCGGGATGCCCCCTGCCCCCCGCTGGGATTCAGCCCCCCCCCCCCCCCCCCCCCGCCCTGAGTTCTTGTCCAGCCCGCCGAAGGAGTCTCCAGCCCCGGACGGAGGGCCGGCCTGGGGTGACCTTCGGGCCGCAGGCTCAGGCCAGTCCAGGCTTGGCTTCCTGCTCTGGGCAAGGCAGGGCTGGGAAAAGGGTCGGCGAGGGTGGAGGCGGAGCCCATGAAATTGACAGACCTGGAAACTGACCAGATATGGGGGGTCGGGAGAAGGGAGGAGCCGTGGCTGGCAGGGCTGAGAGCCTGGAAGGGGAAGGTAGGGCGCCCTGGACAGTCAGGAGGGGTTGGGGGGAGGGGGAAAGATCATGAGCTCTGGTCTGGGCATGTTGAGTTTCAGATGCCTGCTAGATGTCTAGTTGGAGCTGAGAGACTGGAGATCAGCAGAAAGGTTGGGCAGAACAGGGAGATCTGAGAATCATCAGCCCGGAGACAGTCATCCAATCCATGGGAGCTGATGAGATCCTCTGGGGAAGCGGTCTAGAGGGTGGAGAGGAGAGAGCCCAGGACAGTGTCCTGGGGGCACCTATGGTTAGACAGCTTGACAGATCCAGCAAAGAAGACAGAGGAATGCTCAGAGAGGGAGGAGGAGAATCACTGGGTGTGGGGGTGGGGGGTGTTCTGAACACCCAGGAGAAAAGCATGATGGAGAGTGTCAGAGGCTATAGAGGGGTCAAGGAGAATGAGGGTTGAGAAAAGGGAGTTGGATTGGGCAACTATGATCGTTGCAGGGGTTAAGATTGTAAGGGGTTAAGAGAGTAAGAGGAGAGAGAGTGGGACCTTCTCCAGGTTTGCCAGAAAAGGGACAATAATTGGGATGGAAGGATCCAGTGAGGGTGTTTTCAGGATAGGGGAGACAGGGCATGTCTGTGGGCAGTAGGAGAGAGTGGGGATGTTGGATAGTGGTGAGGGGGGCTGAGATCTGCTGGAGGAACTGGGATGGAATGGCGCCATGTGTACATGGGCTTGCCTAGCACATAGTAGGCACTTAATGCTTGCCTGTTCACTGATTAGTGGAAAGGCTAAGCCATTTTAACCAGAGGGGAGTGGGCCCAGGGGGTGGGGAGGGGAGTGGGCCCAGGGGTGGGCAGGGTTGGGTGTGAAAGGTGAGTGGTCTTTTGACACACTCTTGCTCTCTTTCTAGGAGTCTGGTCAGAAGGGATTGGATTATGTCCTTCCCTCCAGGGTTCATAGTGACTTTATGTGGTTAGACTCCTAGAGCAGCCCATGAAGTGGTCTTAAAAGATGTTTTGATAATAGCATTTCAGCAGAACTGGTTTCCTTTATAACCCTATGGATTTTATTTTGTGCTTCTCTGGACTGACTGACAGAGAAAAGTTAAGACCCCCTGTCCTAGACAGACGCTTCAGGCGCTGACCACGGTAAGGAAGGACAAGGAAGGACCCTGTGCTCCGAATGCTCTTCAGTAAACCTCCTTGCCATGTGCCCTTGTTGAGGATTTTGTCCTTTCCTCCTGTGAATCGCAAGGTCACAGATAAGCCAATAGACCAGAAGATAACACGGCAGGGGGAGCATCTCCAGCACATGCTGGGGCCTCATTCGGGGGAGGCCATTTTACATTGTTAGCTTGAGAACTTGCACAGGGTCAGTCCCTTCACAGCGCAGACCCTCACCGAGGGATCTGAGCTGGTGGGAGGGGTGGGGGGGAGGCAGGAGCTCCTCCCCTAAGCCTCAGGCTCCACACGTTTGCCCCAGGCTGTCCAGCTTCTTCTGACTGGCCTCTGGGGAGGTGACTGCTGCCTTCTCCTGCCCCGGACCCCCTTGGCAGCAGCGCTTCTTCTCTGGGAGGCCTCAGTTTTCAGAACTGTCAGCAGCCGGCCCAGCGAGTCCCGCCACCATAGAGATGAGACGCGTCGGGCCTAGAGCGTCTCCAGGGCTGGGGTGGGGGGTGGGGGGGGAGACGCCGGCGCGCACGCACGGGCCGCGCGTCGTAGGCGGCGCGCACGCACATTTTCTTCGCTCTATATGTTGCGGGCGTAAGCCCGCCCCTGCCGCTGACGCAGGCGCAGGCGCGCACGCAGAGACGCAACACACCGTCACGCACGCACGCACGCCCCCACGCACGCACACCCCGAGGCACCCGTCCCGTCCCGTCCCGTCCTGTCCCGCGAGCGTCGGGAGCGCGCGCGCCAGAGAAAGGGGAGCGATGGCGGCTCCGCTGGGCCGCTCCCGAGGCCGCTGACGAGGCGACGCCGCCGGGGCCGGGGCTGGGCCAGGGCCTGCGCTGCTGCCCAGCGCCCGCAGGCCCGAGCATCGAGGCGAGCCGGGCCGGGGCGGCCATGGTGAACACCCGGAAGAGCGCTCTGCGCCTCCTGGGCGGGAAGGCGGCCGGGCCCGGGGCCGGCGGGGCCGGCGGGGGGGCCGGCGGGGCAGCCGGGTCCGGAGGCGGTCACTTCATCTCGTCCCGCACGCGCTCCTCCAAAAGCCGCGCGGTCGGGGCCAAGGCGGGCCCGGGGACAGCGGCGGGAGCAGGAGGCGGGGACTTGGAAGACAGCCGGGTAAGAGCCCGAAGGCCGGCCGGCCGGCCCGCACTTATGGAGCGCCTGCTGTTTGCCAGGCGCCTCGCGGGCCCGGGGCGGAGGGGGAACGGGAGCTCCCCCGGGCGAGGGCGCCGCCTCTTTCCCCCTGCCCCGGGCTGTGGAGTCAGGGAGACCCTTTTGTAGCGGGTGCCCCAGGACAGCTTTCCTCAACCTCCCCCAGGCGCAGGATCCCGCCCCCTCCCCCACCTGTGGCTCCAGGCAGAGAGCTCTGAGGCCAGCCTTCCGCTGCTGCCCGTTGTCCGGGCGGGACCACTGAGGCTTCGAGGTCCGCGCCCGTCACTGCTCGCCACCCCACGGCAGGCTGCTTCCGGCCGCAGACCCGGTGGCGGGTCTTTTGTCTTAATTCCACGCAGCCCGGGATCGGAGGTGGAGGAGAAGGGGGCAGCTTGGACTGGCGAAGCGGCCCCCGGGAGGGCCGGACTGACCCCCCCCCCCCGATGGAGGAAGAGGGGGAGGGAGGAGAGGAGGGGGAGGGTTAGCAGAGCCGGCCCCGGGGGTGCACCTTCTCAGTCCCGGACTTCTCCTTGTAGTCACACACAGCGCCGGCTTTCCTTTAAAAAAAGAAACACGTTCCTAGTCTGTTGTGTAGCCCTCCTGACAGCCGGCGCTTGATCTCATTGGGTCCTCACAACCGCCGTGGGACGGAGGGACTGGTAGCCAGGCGAAGTGCTTTCCCCGGGGTCCCGCGGCAGGATTTGAACTCGGGGCTTTGGTCCGTGGGCCCCGTGGCGGCCCCAGCTTTCCTTCCCTCCGGAGTCCTTCCCGTGCTTTCCTGGGTTCTGCTTGTCGTCATCCCTCCTGGAGGGGTACCCTCTTCACTTCCAGGGATTTGCTTTCCCCGAAAGGAGCAATTTGAAATTCAGAGAAGGGTTTAGCCAGCGCTGAGGAGGTGACCAGCCTGGGCCGAGCTTGCCGGTTTCTGCCCGGGGAAGGTTGGGAGTGGCATCCGGGCCAGGGGCATCTGGTGTGCCGGACCGTCTAGGGGTCGTTGCAGTAGTGAGTTGACTCTGGTTCCGGGCTTGGAAAGGGGGCGGTGCTCGCAGCAGCTGGCAGCGCAGAGTCAGGGCCTGGCTGGGGCCGGCCAGGGGCTTCCAGGGTATCGGCGCAGGGTGCGAGGGGCAGCCTCAGCCAAGTTTGCGTGCCAGTTTCTCTTCTTTGCAGTGACTCGTGGTTTTTCAGGTGGGTGTTACAAGTTGGCCACTGCTTATTTTAACGTTTTTATTTTTTCCTGTCACCGTCATTTCCTGATGGGTGTCGATCCCCTGCCGGCTCCCAGGGAAGGGAGAATCAGCGAGGGGCAAACCCCAGCCTCAGCAGAGTTAAGCCACGTGGTGGACCAGTGGGCCTTTGCGGGCAGCGTCCCACTCCCAATCCGCCTGGACGAAGGAGGAGGGAGGCCGCTTAGTCATTGGGAGCTTGCAACATTCTCCTCCAGTTGTTTTATAATTATTGTTTTGCTGGTTCCTGTAGTTCTGTGCCAAAGGAGTGCCTTCTTCAGGAGACCTTGCCTGCTGGTCCCCCTGAAGTCACCTGAGGCTGACTCTTATTTATCTTCTCTGTTCTGGTGTATGCATCTGTCTCCCTCCTTAGAAAGTCAGGCCTGTTTTTGTTATTTCTTTGTGCCCCCTCTTGACCCCTGCATCCTCTTCTTTTTCCTTGAGTCCCTCTCCCTCTTCTCCTCCGCTGGGCTAACCTCGCCAAGTCTCAGCCTTGGGTCACTCCTACCGGCCTGGGTCTTTGGTCCTACTCAGACGCTGCTGAATGAAAATGGAGAAGACCACGGAACCGCGTTGACGGAGACCATGAAGAGTTGCTGTTCCGTAATCTCCACTGGACCCTCGCTGCCACAAGGCAGTCTGATTACCCCTTCCTCATGAATTCATGATCCCACTCTCCAGTACCACTCTCCCAGACTTTTTCATCCCTCCTCCCACCTCTTATAGCTCGTCCTGTGATTTCTTCCTTCACCCCGTTTCATGTGAAGAGGTGGCCACTCTCTTGACCAAGGCTAATCCCTCTGCTTATTCCATCCCCCCTTTCATCCCCATGCTCACTTATCTTCAGGTTCTCCTTGGCTGCTTCCCTTCAGCCTGCACACAAGCCAGGGTCTTCCCTGTCCTCAAAAAACCCCTTAATCCTGCCGTCCTCACGAGCTATGGTCTTCCGTCTCTTCTCCGTTTCCTGGTGAGAGTCTTTGAGAAGGCCGACTGCATTCAGCACTTCTACTTCCTTTCCTCTCACTGCCTTCTAAAATCTCTGTGATCTGGCTTCCGACCCCATCTTTCTACCAAAAACTGCTCTCTCCAAAGTGACATGGAATGTCTCAGTGGCCTTTCTCAGCCGTCATGCTCCTTGACCTCTCTGCAGCCGTGGACGCTGGTGGTCGCTCTCCCTTCCTGGATACTCTTCTCTCCTGGTTTTCAGGATATGCTTCTGTCCTGGTTCTCCTTCTTCTCTCTTCTTGGCTGGATCCTCATCAGGTCAGTGCTCTCACCTGGGCCCTCTTCTCTTCTCTATGCTGTTTCACTTGGAGATTTCATCAGCTCCCATGGATAAAGTTATCATCTCATGCAAAAGACTTTCAAATCTATTTGTCCATCCCTGACCTCCCTCCTGACCTCCAGTCTTACATCTCCAACTGCTTTTCAGATGTTGAAAACTTACTGTTGAGTAGACATATGAAACTCAGCATGTCCCAAACAGAGCTCATTATCTTTTCTCCAAACCCTCCTTTTCTGAGCTTCCTGATTATTGAGAGCAAAAGCAAGCTTGTAGCCTCGGTGGCATCTTCATGTCACTCTCCTCTCCCTATCCAGTATGGTGCCAAGATCTGCCCGATTCACCTCTGTGGCATCTCCAGTGCACCCTCTCTTCTCTGACCTGGTCCCCACCTGGTGCAGGCCCTCATCACCTCAGGCCTGAATTGTGGCCATAGCTACTAGGGAGGGGGGATCTGTCTGCCTCAAAGGTCTCTTTACTGCAGTCCTTCCTCCACTCACAGTGCCCTTCTTACTTTCAGATCCTGTGATAAAGGTGGGCTCCCCGGAGTCTTCCCTTCTGAATACTTTTCTAGGCCAGCTGTCTTCTTTAGATTTAATAATAGTACCAGCTAATATTTACGTAGTGCCTCCTATGTGCCAGGTATCGTGCTAGGTGCTTTACAGCGATCATTTGATCCTCACAACAGCCCTGGGAGGTCCATGCTGTTATTATCTCCATTTTACAGTTGAGGAAACTGAAGCAGAAAAGTTGTGACTGACCCAAAGTCACTCAGCTAGGACAATGTCTACTTCCTCATGGAAGATGCCAGGCCCTGTGCAGGGTCTTAGAGTTCTGATGTGGTGGCTCAGTGACCCATTGTGGTGAATTGAATTTGTTAAAAAAAAAATCTCTTTACAGTTAATTTCCATTTTTATCCGTCTTTTGCCTCTTCTTAGCTTCATCTTTAATTACCCGTGGGATAATTTTGCTTAGTCTCTTGTCAGTTCATTTTTTCCTGCAGTGTTCCTCACTTTTATGAGACAGTGCTGTTGATAATCTTAACGTTAGGCTTGACCGAGGAACTTATGTTTCTGAGACAGGTGCTGGCTGCCCTTGGCCACAAGAGAAGCATTTGCTGGTTGAGACGGCTTTTCAGGTTCTTTGTTCCTTCCTGTTGCTGGTTGAGGCCGAAACAGTTAAAATTCTTTGGGGAGTGATCTCCTTCTGGGTCAGCGTCTGCCCTTTTTTCAGTTTCCCTTCTTTTCCCCGTCAACAGCTCATTTGCCTGGATTTGGTTGGCGTTTTGTCAGTCGTGGGCCACGTCCTATTTTCATTCTTTCTTTGAGTTTTATACTGATTTTGCTTTTTGCTTGCACAAGTCTGTTGTCTCGCCAGAATCAGCCATGTTCTCAGTGATGTGCTTAGATGCTCCAGATGGACTCTTTCCTCACAGAAAAGATCAAGATCCTTCTTGATCCAAATAGAGCCCAGGAGGGTTTTGGCCTCATTCCTTCCTCCGGGTCTACACTGGCGCAATTTTGCCCACTTCTGCATTGAAATCACTCTACTTTGAAGTCTCGCTGGGTTTGATTTAGAGAATCATCTCTGGCTCTTTGTCAGTGGCTTCTCTCGTGTTGGTGTGTTGCGTTATGAATTAGTCTTGTGCTTACCGTGGTCACTCCAATATGAGGGGACTGAGCATCCCATGCAGTGATGTTTCTTGTTGCCTTGCGATACACATGACAAAGCTCATTTGTTTGCCTTTCGAGAACCTCAGAACTGTCTCCCTTTGATTTTATGTCTAATATGAATGTTGGCACTGAGGTACTTTTGTTCTTGCAGCTGATATGCCTGCCTACTTCTCAGTCATTGGCGGACATATACATTCAGAGGATCTTGTAGTGTTTGGAGGTGTTCTGATGGTTGAGTCCCCTCTTTGGGGAGCCTTTCCCGATCCCTCCACTAGCTGGAAGTCTTTTGCCCCTTCTCTGACTCTCAGTGAGCTCTTGGTCTGGATTCTGCCGTTGTCCCCACTCCTCTTTGCTGCCTAATGGGAAGCTTGTTGTGGACAGGAACTGACCCTCCGGGTCTTTGTAGCGCCGTGCCCTGGTACCCATCCAGCCTGAAGGTCTGTGGATGGGGGGAGGAGTGGGGCTGTATAGTCTCTGTGAAGGGGGTATCCCTGACTCTGCCTCCTTCGCTCTGCTTCTCTGAGGTCATCAGTGCCTTCACATCAGATGGCACTATAATATTCCAGTGCATTTGCTTTGGTCATCTCTCAGTCTGTGGGCACCAGCTTTGTTGTGGGTTCAGAAGTCCTCTCCTCTCTTTGTTCTCTGTAGGTCAGAGGCATGCAGAGGGTCAATAACTCTTTGGGCCTAGTTCCTAGCTGCTTTCCAGAGTGGCTGGATCAACTTTGCGGATTTTACTTCTCAATCACCACTGCTCCCCCTAGAAAAAAAGAAGAAACCATTGTA